AGTTTTACCATTTTCCTACCTGAATATGTCACTGAGAATCCATCTATAAGCCGCCTTCTGCCTTTTCCTTATTTCTGATGACCTCATCTGTCACCTAACTAGAAACAACACTGCCTGGGCACAGTCCACGGTCCACCCTCTTTCCTCTAATTCCCTCTAAGTTACCATGAGTGTTCTGAATCAGGGATTGGAGTCTGAGATCACTCTTTTTGCACATGTTAGGGTTGTGTGTAAAAACTTGTGTAAAACTCTGAACATGACCTGAGGGACAGCCAGCAGGTGCCAGGTACCTTTCTTGCTCGGTTTCCCACATCCCTGAGCTCATACAGCGAGATGAAAGGTGAAGACAGAGGCTCTGATGTTCTCCTCTGTCTCCACACGAGCACACGGTATATGAGCCATTCTCACAAAGATTTTTCTGTGTTTTGTTTTTTGGGAGTTTGACATTCTGCCCCACACTATATATTCATGTTTCTGTCGACTTTTAAAATGTGTGAAGTCACTGTTGACTGAAATAGATATAAAATGTAATGAAAATGAAAACACAGGAAGCCAGGACACACTCACCCGTTGGTTTTCTGCAGCCCTGACATCCTGACTCAGGAGACAACGTGTCCCCAGTGGCTCCTCCTGGCTTACTAAGGATGCCTCTTCCTCTTGAAACCAAGGTACTGTTTCTTTTTCTGCCTCAGTCTGTGCGCTTTTCTCCACTTTCATGGCACATAAGGGCTTCATCTCCCTGAGCTCAGGTCAAACGCTGTCTCCTCTGCAAAGCCACGGAAGCCTGAAGCATTTGTCTCCCCTGCTTTTCCATTTGACTGTCACACTGTGTCACTGAGGCCACTTAACACGGCATCTCCACGCTTGACTCTAAGGCTGGAGTAATACCTCATTTGCTTTAATTGATACCATCCAACACTGCTCCTGATATATTAACCCATATATGTTAAATATATAATATATACATGAATACACACATATATTATGTATAATATATTACATATCACAGACAATGGACATATTATATGCGTTATATGTAAATGTATAATTGATTAATTGCTTCTTCTGATAAATGCAAGAGAAATTAACAGAAGCTGTTTTCCTATTCCTCAAGTGATATATTTTCCTTTAAAAAAAATCCCCCACAATGCTGTTAGATTTCAGGATGATCATAATCTTGTGATTTGGCTGAGACATGGGTTTTGCTGTCATCTTTCTTTTAGACACACCCCAAGGGATGAATCAGAAGTCACGATACCAAGAAAGTAAAAAAAGAAACAGGAAGTGTTTAGTGATTTTTTTTTTTCACGTTGCAGATTCATGACTGACATCTTCTTTGGTGGAAGTGGCCAAAAGACTGGGCTGGGATGATTATTGAACACCTATGCACTCTCAGAGGACATGGATTAAATTTGCCTCAAACTTGAATGTATTCAAAGTTAGTTTCAGTTTTGTTAGTTAAGGGAAGAGGTAGTGAGTCCCAGAATAACAACGGGAAATAGCAGCTAGAGAAATTTCAGGTTGAGTTTACTGCGGAGAATCTGGTAAGTCAGAGATAAGATTTTTACTAATTTTGCTTTTTAAAGAGCTTGGAACTGAGGGCTGTGAATAGGTATCTCTATATCATTATTTGCATCAGTATGCTTGGAAGAGAGGGCCGGTGAGAAGGAAAGAGGAGGCCTTGTTTAAGCTCTCAGATTGCTTCTAGGTTCCTGGGAAACTGTCTTAGCCTGTGTCAGAGGGACCAGAGGCACATCCCCCAGTGAGTTCTCAGTCTCATTTCTCAGCAACGAGAGACTCAGTCGGTGGCAAAGCTGTAGCTATGGATAGGAAGAGCCAATTCTAATAGATACGGTGGGCATAGACACCCACATGTGCAAGTCCCTGTGTGTGCAGGTGCGTGTGTGTGTACATGCATGCACACACATGTGTGCATGCCTGAGTGTATGCGTACAGTCAGAGGACTTGTTCCTCACAAGCCATCCATAGAGGTTTTAGAGACAGCCTGTCACGCTAGCCTGAAACTCACCAAGCAGGCTACACTGGCTGTCTGTAATACTGTAGGAATCCACTCACCTCTGCCTCCTCAACACCAGGATCACACACACACACACACACACACACACACACACACAGATGCACACGTGTGCACGCTTGCCTGTTCTGGGGATCAACTTCAGGCCCTCATATTTACACAGTAAGCACTTTACTGACAGAGCTACCTCTAAGCCCCAACTGTGGTGATTATAAAAAGGAAACCTAGTAAGACTAAGAGGAGAAAGCATTCTCCCTGCCTTTACAGAGGGCTGAGCCCAGTGGGGACTCAGAGTGACTCATGACCTGTGTGTCCCTGTGTGTGAGATCTGTACGGTATAGACAGCAGGTGTCTTCAGAGAGGACCGTTCAGAAGCCCAGGAGCAAACAAACAGCTTCATCTGGAAATGAACTGTGCTGTGTAGGTCTTCACACTAAGAAACAGCTGAGAGGAAGAGAGCCACTGCAGGTGAGAAACCCTTGGTGTTTGCAGGCGTTGAGCAGTGGTGAATCGTCACCAGAGAAGTCTAATTTTTTTTTAACCTTTAGGACATTTTGAATGTTTTAAAAGTGACAGTACTGCCTTTAAAGTAGGAAAATTATGTTTAAGACAAAGTTTGTTATTGTCTGAACATGTGCTCTTGACAAGCTAAACTGTCCAGAACTCCGTGTGGGAGTGATGGTGCTTTCCTCAGAGGAAACCAGAAAAAGTTGGGATGAGTGAGCCTTTCCTACAGATCACAGGCAGCTTTCTCAGGCAGTCCTGGCTCCCACAGAGAACCTTCTATTGGAGAAAAGAAGGGGAGAAGAGGGAGAGTGAGCCAGAGGGAGAATGAACTGATTCTTCTCTCCGCCAAGTAGACAGCTTCGAATTTAAAATATAATCTGTGTCCAACTTTCGTCATGTGAGGGGAGAAGTCATAAGGTTCGATCAGAAGATGAGTTCTCACCCCCGAGGCTAGCCAGTGTTGCTCTCCCACTTTTGAACAGTTTGGTGAGCCATCCCCAAAGTTACCCAGTTTGGAAAATTCTCTTTTTAATTATTTGAAATGTAACCAAAAGCATGCATATTAGCAATAGAAACCACTCCTCTCCGCATCAGTTGATATTCCTGTTTCTGCGATTTAAAAACAAAACAAAACAAAAAACCAAAAAACCCTTACAAAAGCAGTTTGAGAGAGAAAGTGTTTACTCTGGGTCACAGTTGGAGAGTGCATCAGGGCTGGGAAGAGATTGAGGTAGCTGGTCTGTTACTCCCACAGTCAGGAAGGAAGCAGAGAGGAGGCTGGACCTCAGCTCGCTTCCCTCTCTTACACAGTCCAGTACTCAGGTCCATAGAATGATACCATCCACAACTAGGGTGTTTCCATCACAACTAAACTAATCCAGTTCATCTCTCAAGGCACGCCTAGAGGTGCCTTCTAGGTCTTCTAGATCTTTCTAGGCCATTCTAGATCCTGTCAAGTTGACAATATTGATCACCACATCCCTTATTCCTATCACATATACTGTGAATGTGTTTTTATAATATTAGTAAGACCAGATGCCAAATTATTAGCCTTTTTGGACTTCTAGTAGACCTTAATCTGTCCCTTCTTGCTTGACATTGCCGTGGGAGGCTCAGCACAACACCTCTCTGTGGCTTTTCACAGTGAATTTGTTGTTCAATCATAATCTTAAGTTACGTTCAAAGTGAGTTCTTTGGTGTTGATTAAATGAAAATTTGAATATCAAACCCCATCTTTACTAGGAGTGTCTCCAAGACAAAAAACACTTATCCAAACTATGTCCTTTAGATCAGTGCTACCCAAGGGTATTTGTCTCTAGTCTGTGAAATATTTGTTACTCATGCAATATAAGAAGTATTGAAATTGAAAGTGTTAACAATAAATTTATAGAAATTTGAGGGCAACTGTATTTGAACAAAGTTGGGGCTCATTTACCAAATGCCTGTATCTCAGCTCCTTAGGAGAGATGCGTTCTCACTGCCTTTGCAGAGTGGCTGAGCCCAGTGGGCACTCAGAATGACTCACACCTTCTCTATCCCTGTGTGTGATCTGTACTGTATGGGTAGCAGCAGTTTGTATTATAGTGAGCATACCCACTTGTGAAGGAAATGAAAACAAGCCCTTAAACAACACGAGAAGCCTGCTTCAGCATCTCAAGGACACACTCAAATTGGACCTCCTGAGTCTGCTGACTGCTTCTCTTCCTGCGGCTCTCATCCCCATGGTACTGATTTTATCTTCTTGACTACTCAGTATAGGCTTAAGAGTTATTGCTCACAATTGGTATTATTTTCAGACAGTTTCTTGCTTTGTATCCTAGTGTGGTCTCAAACTCGAAATCTTTTCGCTTCCCATCTCTTAGAATTGCAGGCGTGTGGTCCCACGGAGAGGGGGGAGCTCAGGAGGCCCTGTTGCAGCTAGGGAGCTCTGGGCCTCTGGTGGCTGTGGAGGGAGAGTATGTTTCTTTGTGTGCAGGGCCACTGGTAGGCTGTCTGTGCTCCAGTGCATGGTCCCACACCTGTACACACTATAGATAGGGCTAATTAGGCTCTGTGAATTGTAAAGATAAAAAAGAGAACATGAAGTTGGTGGGGGCAGGGTGGGTGTTAAGGAGAAAGTGGAGGGACGGATATGATGTAAATATATTGTATACATACAATATTGTCAAAATATAAAGCAAAATAGTATGCAAAACATTTTATTCCAATCACATATAGTAATCACTGTTTTGTAGTCATTTTGTAATAATTAAAAGAAGGGAACAGTGAAAAATAAATTCTCAATAATGGTAAAATAAATACATCAGCAGACTGTGTAGTTATAGAAAATAAATATTCATATTCTTTATACCCTTGTTCTAAAAGGTATTTCATTTTTGTTGTCTTTGTTTATTTTTTTTTTAATGAAGACAAAACCAAACATGAACTCAAGATTATACAAAGTCAAGATCGTCATTTTCTTCTACTTTACTTGGAAACCTTGTCCTGCTAGAGGGTCTGCAAGGGTGATGCCCTGGCACAGAGCTGCCAACTCCTCTGGTATTGATGTTCTCTTTGTAAACCCTTCCTAAGTTTATGTTACAGTTATCTTTTCTTCATAAGTATAATACACTTGAAAATACAGGAAATGCTAAGAACATGTCATTTGTCACTCTTGGATGTTCTATTAGTTGCTTTACTGTTGCTGTGATAAAAACACCATGACCAAGTTGTCTTATAGAAGAATTTAGTTTTACTTACGGCTCTAGAAGGTTAGATTCCATAACAGCAGGGTGGAGGCAGCAGGTAGACATGGTAGCTGCGGAAGGAAGCCGAGAGCTCACATATGAACTGCAAACAGGAAGCAGAAGGAGCAAACTGGAAGTGGTTCAAGGTCTCAACTCTTAAAGCCCGCCCCCACTGACACACTTCCTTTAGCAAGGCCACACCTCATAAATCTCACCAAACAGTGCCACCAACTGGAAACCAAGTGTTCAAATACAGGAGCTTCTGGTGTACGTTCTCATAAACCGTGCATTATGTGTACTGCCCATCAGTATGGTGATGTTATGACCGGTCACACAGCCAACGTGTTCATACCTGCATCAATCATTCCATAGACACACGGAGATAAGATGCTATGATGGCTGTATCACTAGGTCACGGGAGTGCTCCAGCTCTATTTTCATCTCTTGGGACCACCATTTTCCATGTCATCTGTTGTTGACCAAAATGTCCTTATGCAATATATACCTCAAAGATGCAGTGGAGTCGACTGGGCAATACTCGAACAATATGCTTGTAATTCTAGCAATGTTAACACAAAATCTCAAGTTAAAAAATGGCAATTTAGAGATTTATACGACTTCCAAAACTTACTTTTTGGAATAGCCATTCATATCACTGGTATGATATGTTTCATGCGTGAAAGTACTCATGTTTATTTTATTGGAGAAGAAGTACCAGCAAGTCCGGGAACACTTGCTTATAACATGTTAAAAGCAAGACTGACCGACTGGCTCCCAACTGCTTTTCTTTCTTACTTTTGCCCTGTTTTTCAGGTATGTCTCCCAAACATTTGACTCTGATACTAATGTTGTCTTTCTCTAGGCGTCATGTCAGTGCATTCTGACTATTTTTAAAGCTTTGTTTTTATTCATGTGTGTGTGTGCAAGCATGAGTGCATTTGTACTGTGCATGTGTACTGCATGTGTGCAGGCATGAGTGCATGTGTACCATATGTGTGCAGGCATGAGTGCATGTGTACTGTACATGTGTGAAGGCATGAGTGCATGTGAACCACATGTGTGCAGGCACATGGAGAAGCAGTAAGTGCTGTGGGATCCTCTTCTGTTGGAGTTGGTTGGTTGCGAGCTGTGTGTCTGTTGAGAACTGGCCAAGCTCCTCTGCAAGGGCAGTAAACTCTCTCATCCACTGAGCCATCTCTTTAATCCCATCAGTATGTTCTATTGAGCCAATAATGTCATTATGCTGATTACTGAGGTTAATTCTTTCCCACCCTCCGTGTATTATTGTGACAGTTTTGTTAAAAGCCAACAGACCAGGTGTATGCATAAGAACCTATTTCTGGACCCTGTTCCAGTGTTTGAGTATGGCCTTTTTATATATAAAAGAAATGATTTCTGAACCCTGTCCCAGTATTTGGGTGGAGCCTTTGTGTGTGTGTGTGTGTGTGTATATATATATATATCCTTTTTGTATATTATGCAGCTTTTTGCTCAGGCAGCTTTAAGAGTCTTGGTAATAAATTTGACAAATACTTTAGTTTTGTTCTTATAAAAATTGTTCTGTTACTCTAGGTTCTTTGCATTGCCATGCAAGTTCTAAAAGCAGCTTGTTGGAATTCCCATTCAGATGGGATCTAACCTATAAATAAATTGAGCAAAAACTGACATCTTAATGATATATTGAGTCATAACAATTCATGAACACGGTCGATTTTTCCATTCACTTTGATTATCCAAAACCCAAGACCTAACACCTCTAAACACAAAAAATATGAGTGCTTTACATGTGTCGTACTAATTAATGGTCATCGTTCCTTTCATTACGCAGATTAGACATGAAAGGAAGTGGAAAGTGGGAGGGATTAAATCATTTGTCACAAAGAAGTCAGTAAGTGACATAGAAGTATTTGGGCCCTCCAAGAACTAACTCTAAAACCTAGTATTTTTTGTTCCCTATTAAACAGCTCGGCTGCACTAGGGCTGAGGGAATGCCATTGCTTATTTCTGCAAACCTCTCCAAAATTCAGATTGTTTTTGAACAATTGTGCATTTTGAATACTTTCTCCAATGATAACTTCAGTTACAGTAAGTAAAAAGACAGTGTTAAACTGTGCGGAGACATAGGGGCATTAGAGATTAAATTATTCTTCCAAATTGCACTTGAGAATACAGTACGCCAATTATATCCTTTGAGTATCTAGCTAGTCTGTACATCACACTTGGGATTCAGGTTAATGAACAGAATAAACTTTTTGCACTCCGTTGCAAAACAAATCTAAAAAAAAACATTTGCACACATAAAAAGACACAGAAGAGGACAGTTCCATTTATAAATTGCCTGTATAAACTGATCTAGGAGTTGAAAAACAAGTTTGCAAAATTGTCTGTCTGCTCTGGGTATAGTTTGTAGAATATTCCATTAGAAAATTCTACTTATTTTACAATAAAAAACTATTTATGTGTTTTAGGGGAAAGCTGGAACACAATTGCCCACTACCACAAATTATGCATTTTTCCACATTTGGGGAAGTCACAAGGTCAGAACATCTGAAATGCAGTGGATAAGCCTCACCCTGGAAAAAAAATACCTTCTTGACTATGGTATCTTACCTTCCAAGTATCTATGCCCCAAGATAATAAAAATAAAACAATAAATTGAAACAAATCTCAAGTGATTGTAATGAAAATTGGCCAAAGTTCTTGCTGATCCTAATGTGTAGAAGAGCCAATATTAAACATTTCAAAAGAATTCGTGAGAAAAAGGTTTCAGTTTAAAGTCTGCCCCCAAGCATTCACATTAAAGATTTATTTTTTATTTTACGTGTATAAGTGTTTTGTCTTTATGTTTGGATGTGCACCCGAATGTCTACCTGGTGTCCTCAGACGTCAGAATAGAGCACCTGGTACCCTGGAACTGGAGCTACAGATGTTGTAATCTGCTACCAGATTCTAGGAACTAAACTTGGTTCCTCTGCTAGAGCAGCATGTGCTCCTAATGGCTGATCCATTCCTCCAGCCAGGCACTTAATAGCATGTGAGTGCGTGCCGATTTGTGTGAGACGCACAAATGTATGCACGGCCGTGCTGGTACAAATGCGTGTGTGCCATCTACAAGAATTCAGTGAGACAGGGTCTCTCACTGGCCCAGAGCTCACGAATTAGACTAGGAATGAACTCAGAAATCTTTCTGTTTCCGACTTCCCCCAGGACTGAGATTGTGGGTGCCACATAGATTTTTGGGAATGGACTCGGTTTCTCAAGCGTACAAGGCAAGTGCTTTTCTGACTAAGCACCCTTGTAGCCCTGCCTGACATATTTAGATTGCATCACAGGGCTCCCCGGGCTCTTTCTCTGCCTGTGCCCTAGTCCTGGGAGAGTCAACACCATTCGTTTCCCATCCTTTGACTGATGGTTCAAGATTCTGGATGGATGTCTCACGTTTTTCTGATGGTTCAAGATTCTGGATGGATGTCTCACGTTTTTCTGAGTTCACCTTGTCTGCAAAGGTCAGCATGGCAGGCCCGAGAGCCAAGTAAACCCTAGTGGGTGAGCGTCAGTGTGTCTCTGACACCGAGTTTACAGCTCCACGCCATCCATTGGAACGGTCCGAGTGGTTAACCTAACCAGTCGTTTTCCAGTGCAGAGAGAAAGCCAGTGGGGACGTTCTGTGGAAGCTCATGGAATGGGCTGCTGGGGGTGAGGGAGAGAGAAGACAGTGCCACAGCCACACTCCCTCAGACAGCCTCCCCTCCACACCTGTCTCTGAGAAAGGCCGCCCCACATAGGGCGTGGCAGGGAACCCGAGCCTTGGGGAGGAGGGTCACGAGGCTGGGGCCGGAGGAAGGAGGATGGCCGGGAGCCTGTGGGACTTGGAGCACAGGGTGACCCCGCGCTGATGTGTTGTGTCCCTCAGCGGCTAGCTGTACCTGAAGTCTCCCCACAGGTCCCCGCTGTTCCCGCCGGTGCCCCCTCGGTGTGACTTGAGCCTCAGGTGAGCCTAGCCGGGTGCCGCCCCGGAGCATCAGGTGTCCTGGGAACGTCGCCTGTTGCGCTCGGGGAGGGAGCCTTGTGTCTCCAGCCGTGGGTGGTACAAAGAGGGAGGGTAGGGACCCGGGACATCTGAGCCATGGAGGGCACCCAGAGGGGAGCGGAGTGCGAGATGCACCGGTTTGGCGCAACCGGGGCTCCGCCACGGACCACAGGTCAGTGGGGCGCTTGGTGGGGTGGGGACACTCGGTGTCACCTCGGCAAGGTTTGGAGGTGACGGCAGAGTCCTACCTGTCTGTGCCAGTTTTGTTTCTCAGGTTGTGGGAATCCAATGCCTGATGCCACCTCCAGCCCAGAGTGTTCGTTCTCTCTGAGAAAACTGTGATCCCGGAGGCTAACCGGGCTGCCTCCCACTAGAGTCTCAGAGATAACCCCCAATGGCTCTGTGTCTGCTCTAAACTTGGACTCAATCTTTATTACAGGCCCTTGGCTTGGGGTAGAAATGGGGCCAACAGCCTGGGTTCTGCGCTTGTCAGACAGACTCCAGCAGCAGGCTAGACCTTGCTTTCTGGCTAGGAGCCAGCACCCTGGAGATAGTCCCCATGGCATGGGAGAAAAAAAGAGGAAGAAGGCGAGCATTGCAGCGAGAATAGCACTGTTCTCATTTTGCAGGAGCAAAGATGGAGGCTCCATGTGGGCCTAGTGGGTTGCCTGAAGTTCAAGACTTACCAAATTGTAGAACTAGGGAGGAAGGGAGGCCAGAAAGGAGGGGCTTAAGTACTGTCTGGTGAGAAGAGACAACGCTGAAGAGGCCGGTTGTGGCAGTTTGCCGCTCTCTCCAATTACACATTCCCTCTCTATCGATACCTTTCTGCAGCTCAACACAGTTTAGCTTCTGGTTGCTGAAAGTAACTGTGTCAGTCTAGGTCCGGCACCCTGACACCTGAGGTAGACTTCTGCTGAACCCCTCAGGCCTTGACTTCAAAGAGCAGCTGCCAATACCTGGTCAGACAGTGAGGCTCTCCACCAAAGCCAGCCTTCCGGAACAACTTGAGCAGAGGTTTGAATAAATTAACGGTGGTTGACTGTTTTCTCTTTGTTCCTCTAGGTTACAGTTACATAGTGTCTCTCTATCTAGCGTGCTTAAGGTTTAATTTTCTCTGTAACATAATGGAAAAGGGGTTGGTGGGATTTCAATTCAGTAGTTGGCAAACACACTTTACTCTCAACAAATTCAATATTGCAGTTATTCATATGTAATAACCAACAGAACTTGTTTTAAGTCGGATGTAGTAGGGTTTCTATTGCTGTGATAAAACATATGATCAAAAGCAACTGGGCAGGAATGTTTACTTCACCTTGTAACATTCAGGTTGCAGTTTGTTACTAGGAAGTCAGGACAGGGGCATAGGACAGGCACCTGACAAGCCTGGCACTGAAGCAGAAGTCAACCAAGAAACAATGCTTGCTGGCTTGCCCCTTAGGACTTGCTTGGCTTGCTCTCTTATACTATGTAAGACCACCTACCCAGGGACGTAAGACCACCTACCCAGGGATGTTACCACCACCTGCAGTGGGCTGAGCCCTCCCACTTAGTATTAATCAAGGGAAGGCCCTCCAAATTTGCCTACAGGTCAACTATATAGAGGGCCTTTCTCAGTTAAGATTTCCTCTTCCAAGTTGTGTCTAATTTGTGTCAAGTTGACAAAAACCAATCAGCACCAAGCCTCACAGAGTCTCCTCAAATGCTGTCTAAAATATCCCACTTTTTCGTTTTTTTTTTTTTTCTCCATGCTGGGGATAGAGCCCACAGCTTTGTTCCTGTGAGACCAACTCCTTGTTCCTCAGTCATGTACCCAGCACTCCAGGTTCCACTCTTGGAGGAGACAAGACATTGAGCAAACCCCTGAAGATTAATGGCTTTTTCCTCTCCTTTTTGCCTTTCCCTAAGGAGATTGCATATACTCATGCTTTGAGATACATCGACAAAGCTGCACTTTAATGCATGCCATTCCGGGCTTCTTTGGAAGGAACGGAGTGCATTTGTTACATAGTAACATGCGTTACACATTCTTTTCTTCATTCAGCAGTGGTCTTATCAATCTTTTTATTAGTCAGGAATTTAGAATGTCCCCCATGGCTGGTTTTTATAGCCCAAATCGACATTTCAGGAATGCTGGGTTTGCTGAGAATGTGGTAATCCATATCAAATGTGTGATTCCAGACTTGGAAAGCTGTAGATAGGATTTCTCAGATGTATAATTGTAGGCTAAACTCTTCTCCCTTCGTTGCTGAGTGTAAGTCTTTATGAAAACATTTAACTCAGATGGACTTTCTGTTCTGTGTGGAAGGACTCTATTGTCTTGGTGAGTGTGGGGTATTTTATTTGAATGGGTTTCCATAGAATCAATGCTAGCCTAAAGGAAAACCCTGGATAACTCCCACTCTTTGGAGAGACTTCTTCCTCAGTCTGAAAAAGCCTATTATTTGGTATATCCCTTCCAAAGAGGTACACCAAATAGTATACACATGCTTCCAGGGTAAAATGTATTGGTAAGTATAAGGAAGTGCAATCGATGAGTCATTTGGAAACTGGACTGCAGTTGAGAACCTGCCCTCCCTGGTGTAGCAGAGCCCAGTTCTGGAGGCTCACACTGTCCCTTGAAATAACACTAGTATTAGAAAGCTTGCCTGAGTAATGAAGGTAAAGGGTGAGGCTGCCTGCTTACACTCTACATAAAGGCCTCATTTGCATTTAATTGAATGTTTCCTACACTCTTATGAGGATAGATATTATTCCCATTTTGCAGGACCGAGGTTCGACGCAGGCTGAATGAGCTGACGCAAGTCATAGACTTATCAAGATCCAAACTGGTTCTTGGTTCTGTACAAAACTGATTTATTGATTAATAATTATACTGAAGTTTTCGTTTCTCTCAAAAGAGGGAAATGAATGATCATATCCACATAAACATCTGCATATCATTTCAGGGTCCATTTACTCTCTGAAGTGCTTTCTTGGCCTCTCAGGGTTGTGACTGTATCTGTTACCCATTGAGCTGGAAAGCACACATGTATGGTATACAACCATATGTGTAAACATGTAATTTTTTACTGATTGGAGCAGTCCTTGAATTTGCTAACTTTCACCTAGGTGGGAATTCACTTAAGTAGTAGAAAGCAGTGGGGAACTGATCGTCTGTTCTAGTCTGTTCTAGTCTGTGCCTACCTAATATGGTATAGGAGAACAGGACAGCCCTACCTACGGACACTGGGGCAGCCATGAGGGATTCCTAGGACATAGTAACAGCCCCACAAAAGTAGTTTTTATGTCTGGGGAGCACGGTTCTGCCACCGTCACCTGCAGCGGTCTAAGGAGCACTCATAATCTTTCAGGGACTTCCATTCCGGTAAAACCCGGATCTTTAATCTTTAGATTTTTAATAGGAAAAAAGAATTCCGAGACTAATCAACATGAGGCAGGGCTGAAGTTTATTAACGACATGTTAACACAGTTTTTGAGCACGAGGGTTAAAAGAGAAAGAGAGGCACCCCAGAAGGAAGAGTAAGGCATCCTCATGTGTGGGCACGGACTTCTCAAGAGAGGGTCACGAGTGCCGAGCTCCTTCAGGTACCAGCTTGGTGGATTTCAAGTCACATCGCGAAGTGTTGCTAAGAAACGTCTTTTCTTTCTCTCCTTCTGATGAGGAGGATGTTAGATGGCTCTAGCGATATCTTGGATGGAATTATAATCTAATAAAGCAAAACCAACACCCCAAACCAATGGTTGCCCAAGGAGTTCATAACATGGCCTTTTCCATTAAGAGAAGGGT